GCAGGCTGCCAGTTCTCACCACGCCTTGCTTTTTTTTTTTTTTTTCCAGGAGTTTGTAATCACTACTTTGAAAAGCCTGGGCTACGTCACGCTGATGTGTGGGGACGGCACCAACGACGTCGGAGCTCTGAAACACGCAGATGTGGGTGAGTCTGCACGCAGGGCTCCCACGTGTACCACGCTCGGAGTTTGCTTTGCGTCCCTAACCACAAACCCAGAGTTTCTCTGGTGTTTTGAGGGCTGGAATCAATCTGACCAGTATCATTTGGTGGCATAAACCAACACAAAGAAGGTGGCTCGCTGTGCTGGTGGAATACGCGCTGTGTGCACACCAGCAGGCAACAGGAATTAGCTGCAAACACATTTTCCTAGGAGAAAGATTCTTCCTGTTTTGTTTTTTTTTTTTTTTTTTCCTCTTAAGCTTTACTTCAGCAACTGTAACATCTCTGAAGTCCCTGTGTAACTAGCCTGCCCACCTGACTCCAGGTTTAACTAGCAGTTGGGATTCCTACTTTGTGAAAACACTCTGCCAGCAAAGGGATTACAGCCCTTTTTCCCTGTTTTTACCCTCTTTCAGGAGTGGCACTGCTGGCAAATGCTCCTGAGAGACTGCCCGAACGGAGGAAGAGAACTCGAGATGGACCCAGTGATGGGAGGCCTGCCCTGCCGTCGATGGGGAGCGGGAGTGTGAAGCCCACCTCCCGTGGTGCCAAGCACAGAGTCATGTCCCAAAGAGAGGAGCAGCTGGCCATCCAGAGGGTTGGTAACTACGTAGTTAAAAGCCTGTTAACTTCCCCTTGCTCTTTGTTCCTCCTCTGGTTTACTGCTAATTCATGAGAACTACAAGTGGTAGGATGTGGTGGGACAAGACCAGCTTTGCTGCTGCTTTTCCTCTGCCCAAATCCATTCTGGTGTCTCAGAAGGTGCTGCTTCTCCAGCCAGCCATCGAGCTCCTGCTGCAAGCGTGAAGGCTCCTCGGGCTCCCCTTGGAGCAGGGGTGTGGGAGAGGATAGATTTGATCCCAGTTGTGCTGACGAGTTGTGCGTTTGTATCTTACCGGCCTGCAGGAGCGGATCAGTCAGGTCCTGAAGGATTTGGAAGAGGAACGTGTACCAGTCGTGAAGCTGGGGGATGCCAGCATTGCAGCCCCTTTCACCTCCAAGCTCTCTTCCATCCAGTGCAGTAAGTGCGTGGTGGGAGCTGAACAGTTGGTGTGCACCTCCCCATCTCCGGGGAATAAGTCTAGATTTGAAAGAAGCCAAAACGGAGGGCGTGGGGTGGTGAGAAGTGCCCCCAAACCCCATGGCTTTGCCAGCTGTTTTCGTGGAGCGACCCGGCGGGGGTTCCTTGGATGGGGATGCAAGCAGAGCGGGGGTTAGCTTCCCTCTGTTCTGCTTCAGAAAAGGAGAGGACTGAGGGACGAAGCCCCAGGACCCGTTCTGTTTCCAAACGCTGCTTCCTCTTGCTCCTCAGTCTGCCACGTGATCAAGCAAGGTCGTTGCACGCTAGTGACAACACTCCAGATGTTCAAGATCCTTGCCCTGAACGCCCTGATCCTTGCTTACAGCCAGAGTGTCCTCTACTTGGAAGGGGTGAAGTTCAGTGATTTTCAGGCAACTCTGCAGGGTCTGCTGTTGGCTGGCTGCTTCCTTTTCATCTCCAGGTCGAAGGTAAGGGCAGGGCAGGGCGTTGGGACGGTGGCAGTCACAACAGGATTACTGAAAGAGCGCTTCTAGCTAAAAAAAAAAAGCCGTTTATTTTAACAAATGAACCGTCCACAATGGTGGAGGAGGTGGGGGTTTTTTGTTCCCCTGGATTTGGGAGGCTCCCGCGGCTGGCGCTCACTGAAGGGAACGTCTTGGGATCGCTGGCTGGCAGCGTGGCTCAGGGTCCAGGCGCAGGGGGCAAGGACAGTGCAGAGAAGTGATTCAGCTGAGGCTGTTCCCTGCACCAGCTAAGCTGCGGGGAATTCTCCCAGGCGTTTCCTGAGAAACTCAACTGGTAGTTGGATTCTGCTGGAAAACTGCCTGGAGATGGTCAAAACCGTTGAGGTCAGCCCTGCTGGTTTTTGTCTCTGCCAGCCTTTGAAGACGCTTTCCAAGGAGCGCCCGCTGCCAAACATTTTTAACCTCTACACGGTCCTGACGGTGCTGCTCCAGTTCCTCGTGCACTTCCTCAGCCTCGTGTACCTGTACCACGGTGCCCAGGCACGCAGCGACTCCAAGTAAGCGTCTCTTCCTCCCACACTGAAATGTTTTCTCCAATTGCTGCTAAGCAGGAGGAGGGGGGAGAGGCCTCCCTCACCACAGCGCTCTTTCTGTGAGTGTTTTATCGCGCCTGCCAGGCTTTAGGAGTTTAATGTGTTAGACCTGTCCAGAAAAAGCAGTTTGGAGCTGTACCCCGAGTGCAGGGGCCAGCAGCTCGGCATGTGGCTTACGGTCTGTGACACGTTGTGCTTCCCGTGTCTGCTGTCCCCACACTGGGAGGGAAAAGGGAAATAGAAATAACACCGAGGAGGTGGATTACTGGAAAGTTGTAAGGAAAAAACACAAAAACCTAATTTTTTTCCACTTTTGTGAAAGAGAACCCAGTGATTACCTGTGCTTGCAGCATCTGCAGCTCTGCCCTTACCTGTGCAAGCACGCGTGTTTGGGAACAAACTGTTAATGCGCAACAAAACTTAATAACCCGGGGTCAGTGGGGCTATGTGAGGGAAGTTAAATGTTCCTGGTGATTCTGAGTCTGGTCCCCTGATCACCAGCTTTTTGTCCTCATTTAGACAGGAGGAGTTTGTGGATCTGTACAAGGAGTTTGAGCCCAGCCTTGTGAACAGCACCGTCTACATCATGTCGATGGCAATGCAGATGGCCACCTTTGCTATCAACTACAAGGCAAGCCAGGTTTAAATCACATCTCCGGCAGCACCAGGGAAGCAATTTTGTAATTCGGATGCAATAATACAAACCAAGATGTTCTTCTCTAATCACAATCGAGTCCAGCCTCACCCCTGCTCACACTTTCTCCGTGCTGTGTTTCAGGGCCATCCTTTTATGGAGAGTCTACGGGAGAACAAGCCTTTACTGTGGAGCATCGTCCTTTCAGGACTCGCCATCGTGGGCCTTCTCACGGGCTCCTCGCCAGAATTCAATGAACAGTTTGGCTTGGTAGAAATCCCTGCTGAGGTGAGCAGGCGGCGTTTCTCTGCGCCTGCTGAATTTTACGTGCGGGGAGGACAGGTCTGAGCCTCTCCTCGAGCTCTGGAGGAATCTTAAGGTTTTTAGCAGAATGTTGGGCAGGACAGATTGCCCAGAGCAGCTGTGGCTGCCCCCTCCCTGGAAGGGTTCAAGGCCAGGTTGGACGGGGCTGGGAGCCCCCTGGGCTGGGGGAAGGGGGCCCTGCCCGGGACAGGGGGGTGGAGTTCGATGATCTTTAAGGTCCCTCCAACCCAAACCCTCCTGTGACACTCAGACAGCACCGCAGAGGAGCGCTACCTACCTAAACAGCTTTAAGGGAGAGGACGTGGTAGCAATCCTGCGGCAACACTGGCGTGTCGGGACAGGCTGGGGGGTGCAGGGGTTGAGAGCAGCCCCACGGAGAAGGACTGGGGGGAACTGGAGGGTGAAAAGCTGGACATGAGCCAGCAACGTGCGCCCTCAGCCCAGAAAGCCACCCGTGCCCTGGGCTGCAGCGAGAGAAGTGCAGCCAGCGGGTCGAGGGAGGGGATTCTCCTGCTCTGGGGAGCCCCCCCTGCAGTGCTGGGGCCAGCTCGGGGGCCCCCAACATCAGAAGGACACGGAGCTGCTCGAGCGGGGCCAGAGGAGGCCACGGAGATGCTGGGGGGGCTGGAGCAGCTCCCCTGGGGGGCCGGGCTGAGAGAGTTGGGGGGGTTCAGCCTGGAGAAGAGAAGGCTCCGGGGAGCCCTTCGAGCGGCCTCCCAGGGCTTAAAGGGGGGGCAGGAGAGGTGGGGGGGGACTCTGGATCAGGGGGTGGGGGTAGGACAGGGGGTGATGGTTTTGAACTGAAAGAGGGCAGATTTAGGTGAGATAAAAGAAATTCTCTACTGTGCAGGCGGTGAGGGGCTGGCCCAGGCTCCCCAGACTTGGAGGGGCGATTCCCTGTCCCTGGGGACGTTCAGGGTCAGGATGGATGGGGCTCTGAGCACCCTGGTTGTGGTGAAGCCGTCCCTGCCTGGGGGGGTGTTAGACTGGATGAGCTTTGCGGCCCCTCCAACCCAAACCAGCCCGAGATGCCACAGTTTTTCTTACCATTTAGCAATTGTTGCAGCACGGCGTGAAGGGAAGTTCAAGGTCTGGTTCTGAGGGGACAGAGTGACTGCGAGGGACTAAGGGGTTGTGTTTGCTTCCCTAGTTCAAGATGGTGATCACGGAGGTGTTGCTGGCTGACTTCTTCCTCGCCTTGTTAGTGGATCGAATTCTTCAGTTTCTGCTGGGGAGCGCAAAACTTAAAGTGCCTTCCTGAACCGGCTTCCGAGGTCCTCGCCCCCCGCGGCGCGACACCACGGCCAGCACCCAGGGCCACCTTTCGCCCTCGCAAGAATCCTCCCGACTTCTTCTGACAATAACTCTGGTCCTGTTCAGAAACAGGCGTGGGGAAGCTTTCTTCGAAATCATGTGGAAAATCACCTCCGTGAACCAAGGCCTGACTTTTTACTGGTGCCGGGACGTACCACCAACTGGCGGGAGTTTTGTACTGCCCTAACGTTTAAGGAAACGTTTACAGAATTTGGTAACTAAAATCAGAATCGCTGTATTTTGAAACATGTTTGGAACTTCCTTTGTGAGGCTGACAACTTTGTGATGTTTTTAATACACGGAGTAAAAACAGCAACAACCTAAAGGTGAGGCCAAGGGGTAGGAGTCCCTACACACCAGAAATGGGAAGTTACGTTCAGAATAGAAAGTTGTAAGGCTGACAGTGCGTAGGAGAACCACCCCTGCCAACCCTGAAGCCCTGTATTTCACACTCATTAGCGCAATAAGTTGGCAGGTGAGAAGAGAAACGTGTTTATTTTTCTCCCGAAGCAATTCCCGTGATCGGATATCGATTGCATTTCTTCAGGTACCCGGAAATTTAATCAGAGAGAGCGAGAGGAGCTTGGCCCCGGTGCAGTTTACATCCTTGAGGTAGACTCCAGCGCTAACAAACGCTGGGTGGGAGCCTGGCAGCAGCCGTCCTTTCGACTACAAAAGCATAATTGTACTGAAAAACACCAAAAAAAAAAAAACAAAAAAAAAACAAACCAAAAAAAGCAGTCAGGACCCAGACAGATTCTGAATGTGGCTGCTGCCCACCCCAGACGCGGTGCACGACCAAAGCAGCCTGCTTACCTCTTCCTCAATATCAGCGAGTGACTTAACATTCAGGTTTGCAAGGATAGCCTAAAAAAAGACGTAAAATATTTCTAATTAAGACGAGGTATGAGGTAGGGCTGAGAAGAGCAGCTTAAAGGAAGACTCACGTTACTGCCAGAAGTGAGCTTGCTTTGGAATTTGGGGTGTAGTGTGAAGGGCACTCCATCCATAGCTGGGGAGAGAGGGAGAGAGGCTGAAAACACACAGTTACGTAATTTCTACATCAAGCAGATGAAGAGTTTGAGCAAGATGTCAGTGCTGGCTTAATTCAAGTGAGGAATGTGGGAAGGGAGAAGTTTTTAAGAAAAACCTTCCACTAAAAATGTAGCTCAAAGTCCAGTCTTTAAAGCTAACAACTGCGCGGAAACAGTTGCGCAGGATCCAAAGCAGCTGCTTTTTATTTCCAAGTAGCCCTTAAGGAGGGCTCCGCCTGCTTTATGCAGCTGCCTCCTTTGAGGTGAGATGAAGAAACAATTTACCCGAGAGGCCGTAGATGCTGGAGGTGTCGTACAGAGATTCGTGCTGAGAAACTCGTTTGATGCTGCTTCGAGCCGCGGGTGACCTGTAAAATCACAGTAATTAACGGCAGGTAACGAGCTCCAGAGCAGGGGAACGGAAACCACGAGGTGGCAGCAGCACTCGCAGGGTTTATTCCCGGTTCAGGTAAGACTGGGGGAAAAAAAAAAAAAAAAAATCCTAAATTATTGCGTACATACTTGTGGTCTGAGTCAGGGGGCTGGAGCGAGAGCTGCCGCAGGGCTGCGCTGAGCGTCCGCGGCTTGGGGATGGGTTTCTGAACCGGCCCTTTTTTACACCATATGGCAAAGTTACCAATTTCCCTAGGAAAAAAAAAAAAAAAAAAGAAAAGAAAAACCAAATCCAACCCCCCCTCAGGTTTTTGGGGAGGGGGGAGCGCTCCCCTACCCTATTTTCAGGTAGTGCGGGAGGGCTTTGCTCTTGGAGCTCAGCTTGAGGGCGAAGACGGCGGTTTCGGCGGCGGCGAGCGGCAGCAGCTTCACGTACAACCGTTTCTTCCGGGAGCTGCCGGTCCCTGCGGGGGGGGGGGGAGCTGGACCGGGGAGCAGCACAACCAACCCCCCGGGGGGGGAAGGTTTGGGGAGGGGGGGGGCAGCACTTACGAGGCTCCGGGAATTCGGGGGCGCGGGTGTAGCCGGCGGGCTGAGGGCTCCGGTCGCTCAGCACCAGCACGTCGGTCACCACGGGCCCGGGAGGCGCCTGGATGGGACGGGGGCTCGGTGGGACGACACCCCCCAACCCACCCCGGTCCCGGGGGGTGTGTGTGTGTCCCCCCCCCGCCTCGCACCTCCGCTCCGCCGCCGCTCACACACAGGTACCCGCCGCCCTTGTGCCCGAAGCTTTTGCCCAGGTTGGCCGCCGCGCCCTCCACGGTAACGGCGATCTGCGGGCACAAGGGAGGGTCAAACCGCCGTGGAACCGGGCGGCAGCTCCCCGACCCCCCCCCCCCCCCTTCCCCCGGTGCCCACCACGGTCCAGCCGGCGGGGGCAGCCCCGGGCGCGGCCGCCACGGCCACGCCGGTGAGCGGGGTCTTCTCCTCCTCCTCCGCCATTACCGCCGCGCCAGTAGCCGGAGCTCCGCTCCTTCCCCCCACCCCCCCCCGCCACCATTGGACGGCGCAAGATGAAAGTCTGCGGCGATTGGCTGGCGCGCTCCGAGCGACGCGCGCAACAGCCACTCAGAAGCGAACAAACCCTCCAGGGAGGCTTCAAACGCGGAAGCGCGGGGGGCACCGGGCCGGTACCGGAGCCGCCCCCCCCCCGCCCCGACTCCGCCTTTATTATCGCGGCCCGCACCCCCCCGCCCCGCTCAACCCTCCGGCGGCGGCAGCTTCCTCAGCGGGGCGGCGAGCAGCTTGCGCGCTGGGGAGTTCTCCAGCTGCTGGAAGGTCCTGGAGGCTGCAACAGAGGAGGAGGGGGGGGAAAAAACCCCATTAATCGCCGTTAACGACCCCCGCCCCCCGAGGCTCCCCCAACCTCCCCCCCCCCCCGAGGGTCTCCCGCTCACCGAGCTGCCGCGACAGGCGCCGGAGGTACTGCCCGCTGTCCTCGCTGAAGGCCTGCAGCAGCTTCAGGGTTTGCTGGAGCTCATCCAGCTGCAAAACTAAAGCGGTAACCACCACAAAACCAAAAACAACAACAAAGACCCCAAAAACGACCCCAAATCGCTCAATTCCCCAACTCACCACGAGCTCCAGGCACCTCAAAACCGGCCCCTGCTCGTCCAGGATCTGCTGGTAGTTGGGTTTGGTGCTGAGGACTCGGGCCTGGGATGTCTGGAGGTACGTGGGGGGCTCCGCCTGCCCCCCCTTGCTCCTGCCTTCCTCTAGCCGCCTGCAGCCCCCCCACAACAGCACCCCCTTAATTTGATTTTTTCAAACACCTAACAGCAAGAAAACGAGGGGGAGGAAAAAAGGGAGGAACAACCCCAAACCTGGCCATTTCTTCAGCTCTTTCCTGGTGGTGCAGCAAGAGCTGGTCCCAGGCCTGGCATTCAGCGGTGAACCTGCGGACCGGGAGGAACGGGGGCTGTAGGTTCAGAGCTCGGAAAAACACCAAAAATATTTCATCTCCCCCCAAAAGAGCCTCGGGGAAGGGGAAGGATGAGTGGCTCTAAGTTCAGAGCTTGGAAAAACACCAAAATGATTCAATCTCCCCCCAAAAGAGCCTCAGGGAAGGGGCGGCCGTGGTGAGAGTCTCAGAGCACAACCACGTTCCATCGTACCTGGCGATGTAATCCTTAATTTGGGCCACTGATTCCTCCAAAGCCGAGTCCTGTAAAACCCTAAAGCACAGACATGGCCTCAGGACGCTATAGGGAGATCTATACGTTCCATAGGTGCCTCGCAGGTGCTCACGATCGCAAGATATGAAAGAGAAAAGTCTCCTCAATAAAGGGAACACCCCCGCGGAGTTATTCACCACGCTGGTGGTCCAGGGGCACCAGCCCTGAAAAATCCTCGTAGCCCCCGGCAACGGGGTTTCTCTGCAAATTCAGGTGATTGGGCAGGTTGTAAAGCAACACCAGAAAAAGAGAATGATAGACTGGTTTGGGTTGGAGGGAATTCCACCCCCCCTGCCCCGGGCAGGGCCACCTTCCCCCACCCAGCCCAGGGGGCTCCCAGCCCCGTCCAACCTGGCCTTGAACCCTTCCAGGAAGGGGGCAGGCACAGCTTCTCCCTGGGCCAGCACCTCACCACCCACAGAGAGAATTTCTTCTTTATATCCAAGCTAAATCTCACCTCTTTCAGTTCAAAACCATCACCCTCCATCCTATCCCCACCCCCTGATCCAGAGTCCCCCCCCACCTTTCCTGTCCCCCCTTTAAGCCCTGGGAGGCCACTCGAAGGTCTCCCCGAAGCCTTCTCTTCTCCAGGCTGAACATTCCAACCCAAACCCTTCTCTCATTCTGTAATATAGTGGTTTCTTTCCCTTTTAAAAGTTTCACCCCCCTAAAACCTGCTGGCAGGCCTCCCCATTAGCCTTTCCTCGCTGGTTCTGCAAGAGTTGCCTGGACGAGGGAAGCCGGCTAATTAAAATGTTTAAATGAACCCGGAGTGGTTTGACCTACCAAGGTTGGGAGGGTTTCTGCTGGCAGGGCGAGGGCCTCGTAGGCGGCCAGAGATGCATTTTGTGTTCAGGCTACATCCCCCTTCTCCCCCAGAAGAGATACAGCTCCCTGCTTACACTCCACAAGGGACGAGCTCGGCGAGTTCTTACCCGTTAGGGTCTTCTACGCAGCACTTCAGCGTTCCGTCTCTTTTCAGCTTCTGCATGTATCGCTCCAGGTCTTCTGAAAGCGAGTGCACTGGAAACAAAGACAAAATAAACCAGGATAAAACACTGCTCATAATACCGAGAAACGAAGCTGCTTCCTAACCTGCAGATACTGCTCCGATTCCTTATCGGAAGGCGTTCTAGTTACCGCTTGGACTGTTTCTAAAGGAGTTGCTCGTCTCTGTGGCCAAGGTTTACTTGAGCGTGTCTGTTTGCCTCCCCTCCCAGAAACTGTGGCCACACATAGCATCTTAAAAACATCATTCCCATCATTCTGGCTGCACCCACCCCTTCTAGAAGACAGCTGGGTTCATTTGGAGGGGATGTTAGGGAAGGGTCAGTATTTTTAAATTCAGGGTTATCCTTGCTGATGGATATACCACACCTTACCGTTAGCTTTGAAAGCCTCAGGGCTAAAGCCTTCAGTCTGCTTCAAGACACGTTCCAGCTTCTGCGCAGAAAACTAAAAGAAGATGGAAAAGGTCTCAGCACCCTTTCCTGGACTGTATGAGAAAGCTTGTGGGAGGATTCATTACTGAATGAGGAGTCCTTCCTTCCCCAGCCTGTATTTCACAACTTAAACAAATCAGGACATATGTTTAGTGGCAGAAAAAGGAAAGAGAAAAATAATTCACTTTTAGAAGAGAGGATCTTACCTGGAAACTAGACAACAGCAGCATAGAAAGCCGGTCTGTCTCTGGCAGATCCAGGCTTATTGATTTGCTTAATTCTGACAAAACAGAACAAAATTATTTAAGAACAATTGCATTCACACCAAGCTACAAAGAGCTGAAATGTTCCTGAAAGACACTAAAAGCTGTTGTACAGGAGTGCAGTTTGTAGGATACGGAAGGAGCAAGGAAAAGAGGAAGAAACAGAGATCCTACCAAGGAAAAATCACCCTTAAGGCTCAACCATGGAAATAAAAAGGCAGAGACAACAAACCAGTGGTCTACAGAAGCTGATAAGGCAGCATCTCCTTTTAACTTCAAGATCCCGGACCTCTGAGACCACTGCCAACACAGATGTCAGTAGCTACTAGTTTGGAATAACACAATTACGCTGGAATCACCCAAAAAGTCGTGTCATGAAATTAAATCTCAACTTGCTGCAGGCTGCCTGACATGTTTCTCGAGAGAGAGCTTGATAAAAGGATGAAGCGGAGCACGTACCAGTGACATCCTGGTGAACGGGAGGCAGAGATTTTCGGTGTTTTTTCCCCTTCAGGCTGGATCGACACCAGGAGCGACGCTTGGCTTGAGGGGTGCGGACGAGCAGCCTTGGGGACAAGTTAAAGGAACTCGATGCATGGTCTTTCCTGGGACTGCTTCTGCAGGGAGACAGCTTCTTGGGACTGTGCCCAAGAGGGCTTTTCCTGAGGCTGGAACTTTCGTAGGATCTTTTCCTCGTAACTGCTGAGGGACAAAGGTTCATGCTAACAGCAGTTATGTCAGGGGGCTTTAGGAATTGCTCAGGATCCACTTTTTCCTCTCCGGGGTCAGGATCTGGGAGAACTAGACACAATCAACGCGTTAACAGGGTAAGAACAGAGCAAAGGGTCTCTCCCAGGGATTCAAAAGCACTGAACCTGTTCTTTGCGCTTTGCTTCCCAGCTCGGAGCGGCAGCAGCAGCAGCGCTGAGGCGCGATGGCTGGGTGACGGCTCCGGTTCCCCCTTTCAGCACGGAGATCCTTCTCCCGGGCACGGCCGGGGGGTCCCCGCCGCGGCCGCCCCCCCCGGCCCGCCGCCCCCCTTACCTGACAGCAGCCCTCCAGCCGCAGGGCAGGCTCCGCCGCGGGAACGCTGAGGGGGATAAACGGTTACGAGTCCGGCTGCGAGGCCAACCCCCCCCCCCCCCCGCCGCCCCGGGCCCTCCCCGCAGCGCTCACCTCCTCCTCCTTCTCCTCCGACCCGCCGGACGGCCCCGGCGGGGAGGCGGCGGCCGCCCCGTTGTTCCCCGCCGCCCCGTTGTTCCTCCCCGCCGGTCGATCCGCCATGGCGGGGCCGCAGAGGATGGCGGGAAGGGGCCCTGAGGGCGGCGCATGCGCAGAGCCCGCCGCGCCCCTCCCGCCCTTCCCTGAGGGAACCCCGGAGCCCAGGTGAGGAGAGCGGGAGACGTGAGAAAAACAAACTTTTTTAAAAAAAAAAAAAAAAAAAAAAAAAAAAAAGGCTTTGGAAGTTTATTATCTTTGATAAAATCTCAACTGAAAGGGGTGGACTCTGTGGTAACAGCTGCAGAAATGCACAAAATCCTAGTATCCATGGGGAAAGTCAGGTGTTTTGTGTTGGTTTTGTTTGTGTTTTGTGGTTTTTTTTTTTTTTTCACTTAGACATTAAATTAGAATTACGTGGAATGACACAGGATGGAAGGTCCTACCCGAGAGCAAAGTCCAGTGAGAGTTTTGGTAAAGCAACGTTCTGATTAATTAGCTCAGAATGAATTCTAGTTAAGAAAAGCTTATTTTCCTATACAAAATTACAATACAGAGAACGCATACAATTACAATACAGGGGGGTTAACTGGTAGTAGCTATCAACTAGAACATAAATTTCATAGTAAAAAACTTTATGGAAATTAAAATAAGTCAATTTTCTTAAGCTGTAAAACTTGAGACAAACGCCAAGTTCTAGAAGAGACACTTTCAGATTCTTACCATAAAATCCATATTTAAAAAAATGAATTTGGTTAGGAAAATGAAGCAAGTTCTTTTAAAACAATTTCACATCCCAATGGGCATAAGTAAAAAGAATTCAACTGCGTGAGGCTGAGAGGTAGAGAGGTATCATTGTAATCACAATCGTCTATTGGTTCCAGGGTTTTTT